ATAACTGCTATGTTCAGTACGATCAGTACAAGAAAGGAAATACTGTCAGTATAAAAAAAAGAGATATTGTATAAAATTCAATTCGACAAACCTGATGCAGAGCATACTTGTCGCAGTTTACGTGTCTTGTATCGAATCTTCTCTTTCATTCGGCATTAAGCTTCATCAGCTTAGGCAATTTCGCATTTTGCTATTAAAATCGATCCGTTTGAGATATCCTTGACCATGACAACTATTGTAAAATCTCTTTATGACGCTATTGCTATAATTGTACGATAATGCTCGTCTTCGCAAATGTTAATATCGAAGTTGCTGTATTTTCGTTTCACATTATGATATATGGAAAAAGTTATTAAATTGTTATAAAATTTCTAAAGATATATACCAACATAAAATTGAAATTGCAATATCTAGGATTTTGAATACGCTGTCGCTACTGAATTATTTCGCGTCTTTGAAGCATGCCCTACCATTTGGAAAAGACCGCAAACGTGTTGCACGTTGAGCTACAGCGCGAAGTACGTTGCTATCGGAATAGTCAGAATGAAGATGCAATAAGACGAAGTAATAATATTTCTCCGTGTCGAGGACAGCAACCACGTGGTTCGAGCCGTGAATTTGCGTTTAGATCGCACTCATGAAGGATGTCGATGGGATGGGAACGGCATGACGGGAATTGTCATACACATATGAACATGATGCCGTGCATTACAGTTATAAAAGTGCGAATGTGATTTCCTTAATCTCAGTTTTTTTTCGTTAGCGCTTGAAGATTTAGATGCAGAAATATATATTGACGAAAGAAAATGATATTTCTTCAAAATATATCAGCAGCGTACACCTGCGTCAATTTTTTGCTCTTGTTAGTTGTTATCTGACAATAAACATCAAACGTCGCTAATGTCTTCAACTATTTCTCATTTAGATGAAAAGGCTCTTGAACTGTTCGAATTCATATGATACAATGTACTTTTAGCAGCATATACTTAACTTTTGAGGATAACGATTCACGTACTTACGATTATTGAAGAGATAATTTAAATATGTTATGATGACAATAAGTGGATGATGATAGAGCAGGGATGATAGAGCATTCGATTCGTGCCACACCGTTCAAACCACGAAATCCGTGCCACACCGCTACCAAAGCGAGTATCTGACTAAATGAAAAAACTGTTCGTGTTTGTTATAGAAAATAAAATATCAAAAAATAGAAAAAAAAAGTATTATCAAAAGAGAGAAAGAAATAATACTTGCGCGTTTGTCCAGAAGATAAAAGCAAAAGAATTTTAATAATTCGATTTATTAATTAATAATACTGTGTAAAAAAATCTTAATTTTTTCAGTGACTAATGACAAATAAAAAGTAATATTTTTAATTGCATTTTCTATACTGCTCATGTAGTTGGATTAACGATCCCAAAATTATTAATCAACGATTCGTCAACGTACAAACAAGCAAAATTGACTGGAAACGATGAAGGTGAGATGAAAGGAGAGAAAGAATCTCTTGAAGGAGCAGACTGTTCCGGCCATTGACCGATCCACGACATAAAGAGTTGATTGATTTTATATTGCTGCACGTTCATCCCGACTCGCTTCCGAAAACTAGAATGCGTCAGTAGCAGGTAGTAAACCTTCCGTGGCAGGGATCAGCTCGAACGTAAATCTTCCGTCTGTCTCGTATTCCTTTGGTGAATAACCGCGTATAACGGTAGACGGAAATTTGCATGACTAGTGACGATGTGTTAAAAGAAGCGCGATCGATTTTTACGTAGACGGACGCACTATGTCATTACTATAAAACACAAATTAACAAGAAAATTAACTTATTTTTGTTAATTAAACTCCGTTTTATTTTGCTTTAAAAATTTGCTAAAAGGGATTGTAACATCCACATCCGCATATCTTTTTTTTTCTTGCGTTGACAGTCAGCTTGACATGCCTTTCTCTAATGGATACACAATATATCTTTCAACGAGTAAAAATAAATGCGATACAAATAATACAAATGTAATTTTATATTTTTTAAATTCTAGAATATTTTAATTTTTAATAGTTAATAATTTTTTAGTTATTTTTAAGGAATGAGTATCGCATATGGTATATCTAATTTACTAGAAGAAATTATTAATAATTCTAACTACAACATAATGATACACACATATATATATATATATATATATATATATATATATATATGTCTATATTTATCACTTATTACATATTGATATATAAGTCATATTTTGTATAAAGACGTAATAACTCGTTACATCAAAAAGTACTTTTAAAGAACACATTCGATTAGTGCAGAAAAATGAAAGAACAATGAAAGAAAAATGCTGTAATTATTATGTTTGATATGTTAAACAAATAAAATAACAATTATTATGTTACACGTATAATGATTGTTAGCTTATTTATTTAACATGTTTTTAATTTCTCTAACGTAAACCATTATACGCGATTGTTACTGCATTGATGTGAGCATCGTGAAGTAGGACATGGTCATTTTCAAAAGCTGAAAATAATATCATAAAGATGTTTTTCTTTATGAAACTATCATCGATGTAACACTACATACCGCGCTGAAGTTCTCCAACGACATTACGAACATATTACCAGCTTTTATTTGGCACGGTTTAGTGGCACGCAGTAATGTGAATCTCAGGAGATGTCTGGACCTCAGTGAAATCATGTACCAGTTGCAGCTGTAACTGATAATTCGATACATTAATTTTTTATATACTTCTCCGTCTATTTACCAAATTTCTAAATTATTTCCAAATATTAAATATAAAACAGACAAATTACAAAATACACGACGAGAGTTCAATCTTATGCATTCTTTTTCCAATTTAATATTAGTCTTTTAAAAAGTCTTTTAGTGCAAAAGTTTAAACATTATTGACAAACAAATGCGTACATCACATCTTGGAGCTCATTGCTGTAATCGATCAAGCGTTGAGACGTTAAACTCAGATAATATATGTGCAGCAACTGCGCAACTGCGCTAGCAAGAATTCTAATGATTTCGTCAAATTGATTATCCACCATCACCAACTTAAATAATACTCCGTTTTATTAGATATTTATTAAATAAAAATGCAATTATATAATCTAAAAATTTCAGATTAGCCTCGAATATTTACCTCTGCCGTACCGAAGCTTAAACAAATAACTACATTTCCCAGCAGAAATAGGAAAGATTTTGCGAAAGTTGATGAAACCAGTTCAGAAAATCTCCGCGTAAAATGATGAAACAAAAACATATTAATCTATTTGAGCAAATCTGATATAATTAATTAAACTATATAAAATTTAATATAAAAAATTTTATATTAAAATTGAATATAGAGTTAATGAAATTAATTTAATAACATTAAGTTGATTAAATTGCCAATTGCCATAAAAGTAGAAAAGTTATGTCATATTATTTCATGAATATTTTATATTTTACATATACATGTATTTAATTCTCATTTCCAAACTGTATATCTAATAAAGGATGGGTCACTTACTTTAAGATACGTTTGTATGATTTGATACAGCTTATTATGCCATGGTACGCTTCGTCGTCTGCGATGTCCGGATTAAGCTCCGAACCTCGTATTTGCTCTATATTGTATCTATTTGATAAAAGTATAATTTCTATTGAAAATGTACCGTCTTTAAAGATTTCTTAGAAACTATAGCTTCGCTTGCGTGACTTACTTTATACATCTGAACAACGCGCAAACATGCTGAACGCAGAGTGTGAACAGGCCATCGACAGCTATAGGGACAGAGACTATATAGAATACGCTGATGAACCCGTGAAGCATCAACAGGTTGTAGTATTTATCCATGTCCAGAACATGTTCCAAGCGATATAGAAACCTGGCCGAGTATGTTTCGTTCGTCGGTAAGAGCGTGTACATTCCACTAATAACGATCGGTGGCGTGGTATAGAAGAGCCACATCGCGTAAAGACCAACTGAAATAAGACATTTTTTTCTCATCGCTTTATGATTTTTAAACAGAAAAAATATAGACTGTTTATATTAAAATTTAATGAAAATTTAAATCTAATTTTCAAAACAAAAATACCAAGTATTTTAGTCTGTCTATATATATAATAAGTTTATTTAT